AACTTTGTGGTTGATGCAAACTTTAACAAAAGCCAAAGTTGTTAAAATGAAAGACTTAATAGAAGTGGCTGGTATCGCGTTGGACAATGTTGATGCCTTTGCACTCAGACTTGGAATTAAATCAACCAGGACAGTTTATTTTTTCTTGAAGAAGTGGAGAGAAAATTTGAGTAAAGAAGACTGGAACTTTTTGTCAAATCAAGCTCTTCCTGATAAAACGGATAATTTTCCCTGTATGGTTATATCCAACAGTGTAATAGAAAATGAAAATGTTTTGTTGACCTCAGAGCATGTGAGAGACATAATGTTTAATGCAATTGGAGGAAAGAGTTTATATAAAGTCTGTGTGAAGGTGATAAATAAAGAGAAGTTAAAACGTATGGATACACCATGGAGAGATCATTTAAGTGTTGATTCTGATGTCAAACCTTTTTGGGGCTCTTGTTACAAACCACCATTGACTAAAAATGTGGGTGATCTTCAATGGCGAATTTTACATGGAATTGTTGCTATAAATGCTTTTATCTCATTGTTGAATCCAAATGTGCAAGATAGTTGTCCGTTTTGTGGTGAAAGAGAAACCATATTTCATTGTTTTATGCATTGTGAGAGACTAAGACCCTTATTTGGTTTATTGGAAATTCTATTTACTAATGTTAATGAAGTGTTTACAATGATTGTGTTTATTTTTGGTTTTAAATATTGTAAAGGAAAAAAGAAGAAAGGACGATTGTTAAATTTTATCTTAGGTCAAGCCAAAATGGCTGTGTATATTAGTAGGAAATATGAAATTGCTGGCAGTAGGAAAAATGTTGAATTGTTGTTTAAGGGGCTCATAAAAGTAAGGATAAAACATGATTTTATTTTTTATTCTCATATGAAAAAATTGGAAACCTTTGAAGATGTGTGGAGTGTACAAAGAATGTTGTGCTGGATTGAAAATGACACATTGCACTTTATTGAAGAATTTGAGTAAGCCTAATATTTTGAGTAGGCCAATGTGATTTCTTGTTATGTTGTGTAGTTAATAAAGGTGTGTTAAAAATCAAAAAAAAAAAAAATCTCTCTCTCTCTCTCTCTCTCTCTCTCTCTCTCTCTCTCTCTCTCTCTCTCTCTCTCTCTCTCTCTCTCTCTCTCTCTCTCTCTCTCTCTCTCTCTCTCTCTCTCTCTCTCTCTCTCTCTCTCTCTCTCTCTCTCTCTCTCTCTCACACACACACACACCTCCATCACATGTGGCCACAATATGAGTCATCAGACACTGACCCTATAGTCAAAGAGCTGGAATTCACAAGTTCAAATGTGTATTTCTCTCTGACAGCAGCTTATCAAATAATATTATTACAGAGGTTAAAACAAGCTCAATCGACAGCATTTGTGGAATATTTAAAATTATAAGATAAAAAATTTCAATCTTTAAATCCTCTAAAAAATTGACCCCTTTATAGGGCGTCATTGTAACCTTATTTTTTTGCCATTTATTTTAAAGGGAACAAGTGTCTAAATTATTTTTTGTGCACATTATCCAAATGCTGTTGTTATTAAACCTGGAATATTCCTTTAATATAATGCTATAGATTATGGGTTGCATTATGAAGGAGGAGTTCTTAGAGTTATAGCATAGTCTACCCCCACTTCCCAACACACACACACACACCTGCTCTTCTCACTCAAATGCATGAACCCTATACAGCCTAACCAGTCTCTCTCTCCTTCCTAAACAAGACTGTTGGTTTCTCATGACATAATGTTGTTGGTCCTGTAAATCTGTGTGTTCAGCTGCAGTCTTACCTCTCTTATTTTTATTCCATCCAACTCATATGAGAACACTGAATCTGCCATTGAATGATAAATACATAACATAGCAAAGAGTTGGGGACGTTTTAAATGTGTTATAGGTTAATGAAATTATACAACCTAAAAATTCGTAAAAAATATATTTAAAAAAAAAAATACTATTTACGTTCAATAAAAAAAATCATATTAAAAATACTATTAAATTGTTTGGTGATTGTTTGGAACATTTATATTATGGATTTTTTTTTTAAAGTTGTAAATAAAGCAAAGATTACTGGAGTATGTTTTAGAAAGCACACTTTCAGTTTTTATTCTTCAAAATGTCACATTTAATTAAACGTGCTGTTTCTTTGAAATTGTGAAATTTACTAGCAATTTCTGAGAGGATATTGTTTCTACACCAATTCTTTTTTTCAGTGATGGATCGGCAGAGCTGTATTGATTATTGCCCCCTGGGCTTGTAAAAACAGCATGCAGGTGTTTTGAAAATGTCGTAAGTGTCGTAGATGGTGGGAGGGGGTTGTTGGTGCAGCTGAGGGGACAGAAAGTCCCGGGTTTAAGTGACACTGGCATGTTTGTGAAAGCTGCTCCAAGTGACATATTACGGGCCATGGAAGCACAGAGAAAATAAATGAGACAGAGAAAAAGGGTCTGGAAGCCATTTGCCACTGTCTCACTCTCTCTTTCTTAGATCATTCTTAACATCTGCCTCATGTTTATTTACCCAACACCCGCTTCTGGCTATAAACAAACCATCTCTGCATGAGCTCAGCCCCTGCAGAAGCAGAACTTCTGCCCCTCGGCCACAAACCAAACAGTTGAGAGACCAACACACATCATTATGTGATTTTCATTTTACTTGTTATCTTGCTGAGGACATAACCAGAGAGTTAGAGCTGGAGTAAAACTGTGCTTTTAGCTGTTGTTACGCTGTCAAAACACAGAGTTTCTGACCAAGGTCCAGTTCAAAATCCCAGTCAAAAGGCCCAAATAATGAAAATCCGTTTACATAAAAATGTCGTTGTTCAAATAAAGCACTGTTAATTATGCATATTGCAACAGAGCGATTATTGGACCAAATGAGAATGGTCACACATTGCTCGGGCACATAACCGCAGGTCAAAGATTAGAGGTCACAGGTTAGTGAGTTTGGTCACATAAACCCATATGGATGATCTTGCATTCCTTTGCAATGAAACAGTAATGCAGTCAGAGCATGATTGTGAAGCAGTGAGACATGTTATTCTTTTATGACAAAGCTAGGCATGAATTATGACAGGAAGGAAAGGACAGAAACTTAAATGAGTGTGAAGAACTAAATGTAATGTGTGAACTAGAGCTGTCAAATCGATTAATCGCGATTAATTGCATCTAACATAAAAGTTTGTGTTTATATAATGTCTGTGTACATATATACTGTGTAGCTATATATATATATATATATATATATATATATATATACAGTATATATATATATATATATATATATATATATATATATATATATATATATTTGCAGCACTATAAAGTGTGAACCCAAGACAAGACAAAGCAAATTTGAAATGTAAATATGAAGTGTGTGCATATAATAGAAGAAAAGAAGCCAAAAATGATTAAGAAAAAGAGAGTGAGAAGAAGAAAAAGGTTGAGAGAGAGAGAGAGAGAGAGAGAGAGAGAGAGAGAGAGAGAGAGAGAGAGAGAGAGAGAGAGAGAGAGAGAGAGAGACCCCTACTGTTCTTTATCATGGCCTCGTGCTCTTTGAGCCACTGAATGAAAACAAACCGCAGCGGGTCTAAAACTCTCACTTAACGAAAACAGTAATAGCCTAATGTGATTTTGAGTGCAAATTAAAAAAAATAAGTATAGCCTATTTATAAGCAAATGTAGGCCTACTACTCTCCATTTAGTTGACTTAAAAAACTCGATTCGCGGATGAATATGGCTTTTTTACATTTGTTTTTCAAATTCTTATTAGGTTAATTACGATGACAAGTGATTGTGTAGATAAACATGTTGATTGTTGCAGCATTAGCAGTGCGTTTGCCAGGTTGTTTGTTGCACGTTCATTATAGGCCCACTGTTGTTTTAAACGCCTCTCTGTCAAATGGCCGCGCAATAAAAGCAGTAAATTCAGAGGATAATCACCGGCCATGAGTTAGCCTTCTTGCAGGTGCAGCTTCTGTTTTTTTCCCCAGTGAAGGTTCATATTACTCCACGAGCTTTTAAAAGTCTATTTTCTTGATCTCTTTCCATAATAAACACGATAATTAATAATTAAATGCAAAGTCTAAAACGGGTTAAATAAATGCCTTAATTGTTTAAACATTTAGGGCAGCAATTAAACGGAAGTTTTCAATTTTATTGGGTTTATTTTATTTTATTTTACAGTAGGCCTACATCTACACACAAAATACAAATAAAATAAGTTTGTAAGATTGTAAGTGATGTTAAAACTGATCAAATGGAAACAGCAAGAAACAATGACAAACGACATGACACAGAACTGTAATATTTCACCAACAACAAGAAAGACGATGAATAAATTTAATTACATTTAATATTATAAATAAATTGGAGATTATAATTGCATTTACAAATAAATCGAAACACAAAAACCCTTTGCCTTTTACTGTAGCAAAATACCATGATGTGATGGTAGCTACAGAAGAAAATACCATGGCACCAGGCTACTGAAATTCGGATTACACACTTGATTTTAAGGTGTCTTTGTTCCAGTGTAATTATGCATTTAAGAACTGTGTAATAATAATTAATAAATACACTTACTATAGGGGTCGGGTATGATTTGGATTTGGGTTAGTTGCATTTAATAATGCATACTTTATATGTATTACCACAGTAACTGTAACGTGTAAAAAAAAGAAAAGAAAAAGGATAATGTAAAATAAAGTGTTACCAAATTTTATTTCATGGTGTTTACATGGTGCTCCAAGGTTCTTCCTAGAATACCATGGCATTGCCCTGTAGCCTACCAACGCTATCTCACGACCAATTCGTACGAATTTGTACGAATGTGAGCCTACCTGTCCAAAAACATGCCGTTTGTAGGCTATTTTATGTGAATGCATATACTTTATGTTGTTCTTTATCATTAATGTTTGTCCTTTGAATGTATTCATTTGAATGTATTTAATATTAACTACAAATATATATATTCTGCTCAAATATGATTTAGCGAGTGTGTGATAGACCGTAGCTTTGTTTATTTGCATATGACTGACCGCTCCTCCCTATAAAAGACCGCGCGCACTTCTCCTGCTTTAGCTGCTCGCGCATGGAATGACTGTAAGGACGCACATCAAGAGGATCTTTTAACATGTTATGAGATCGATCAACTGCTGAAAGTACATCAGAGAAACACACATCAAGGTTTGGCGATGCAGTGTTTGCGTGGCTAGTGCTTGACAACAAGCCATCATTTCCTTTTGGATACTTTGGATAATTCCCTCTCGGTTTCATCGAGCTCTTGTCCAAACCTTTTTTAGTAATGGCATTTGCCATGCTGCGGCCCATAGCGACTCATCTAGCGTACTCGGATGTTGCCATGATGTCCGAGGATGAGGAAAACCGCAGCGAGAGCGACGGCAGCTCGGAGCAGAGCTACGGTTGCTGTCCCAGTGCGGAGAAGCGGCGGCGGATGACACTCAAGTCCACGGTGGGCGGTGTGGTTATAGTAAAGCAACGGAACGCAGCGAACGCGCGGGAACGCGATAGGACGCAGAGCGTCAACACCGCTTTCACGGCGTTACGGACTCTTATTCCCACCGAGCCAGTAGACAGAAAGCTGTCAAAGATTGAGACTCTGCGCTTAGCCTCCAGTTACATCTCACATCTGGCCAATGTGCTCCTGATAGGGGATGGAGGAGAGGACGCGCAGCCGTGCGTGAGCGCGGTGTACAGCGCGCAGGGCGACAGCGGAGGAAAGCAGCCGCGCACCATATGTACTTTCTGCCTCAGCAGCCAGAGAAAAGGGGTAAGAGACCATTCAAATGTATGAACATGCGAGAGAATGCATTTAGTTACTGATACTGTCTGAAAACAAAAGTGTAATAATACACATTTATCTTTATAATAGTAAATATTTATGGATGGCAAATGTGCGGATACGCACCTCAGGAAGTGTGAAGGACCCTTGAAATGTAATACAATGAAATTAAAGAGAAATTTTAAGAATGAAATAGGCTACTCTAAAAAAGGCTAAATTAAGCCTTTATTAAATTTAAATACTTTTTTTTTTACTTGTGTATGCCCCCTTGATAATACATTTGGTCACATATGTTGGTGCCAAAAGATAATAAAAAGTGTTAAAGTATAAAGTGTAAATTATAAAATCATTTAAGTTCCCTGTAAAAAAATCGATTTCCCTGCAATATGGCTACTCACTTTAAATGTAAACCAATAGTGAGTTGGCCCAATAAAAAGAAAATGAAAGAACAGAATTGGCCAAAATATCAGAAGGATGGCCTAGATGATATATTTGTTTGACCTGACATTAATATCACTTTTTGTTTTGTCTATGTGTGCTTTTGCAGATAAAGGACGGGACTGACTGCGTCCGCATGCGGGGAATCACGTCATTGCGCGTGACACGCCGGTAGCAGCGGCAGCAGCGCGTGAGATGAAACCGCCACTCAGGGAGCGCGAGAGGTGAGCGAGATTCCTCGCGACGGAGATTTTCGGAAGACTCGCCATTCAAACAAGCGTTGGTTTTTGTATTTGTACTTTTCTGTGTGTGTTTTGTACAGAGATATACGAACATTTAAAATGCAGTGCATAAAATATATTTTCCCTTTTCGTTTTCTTTTTTAAAAAGAGAATTTATACATTTTATACACAAATTGTGAGAACACCATGGTGAAATAAAATATATTTTTTCAAATTTCAAATGTCCTCTGTCAGTTATGCGTGGATGGCAGAAGAAAAAAGAAGCACTTTTGTAAATGTTTTGGGTTGAAAGGATTTGTCTTTAAAATTTCATTTCTCCAATAAATCTGCTGACCAATAGAATATGGTCCTTAGAGTTAAGCATCAATTAAGTTTTCATAAATCTATAGCACAAAAATCAGCTCAGTGAGACTTTAACATAATGACATTATTGCTATGTAATAGTATGGATGATTCAGCTTCTATATCTGTTATAGAGCATTTATAGTGACTTTTGTTGACTGGTGCTTTTCTGGCCTATATGTATCCCTTTCCTTCGGGGTTAAAAATCCAAACGTGTCCAGAACAATACAACCAAAAGATGGAAAAACAGTCATGGGCTCAGGGATTTAGGCAGGGCTTCAAATCAATCAGAAACTAAAACAACCTTAATTCAAATTCAGACAAAACTCATTAATCATCTCATTACATAACTATTAACTCCTCTCATTCTCTATCTATGTGGTCCTTTTGTAATTGTTTAATATGTAACTTTTGTGAAGGACAGAAACGAAATGCTTTTTTAATTCTTTTATACATATCTCTCATTCTGTCTCCATGTGTTTTGGAGATCTGGGATGTATTAGTCACGGTAAATACTACCCTTCGGTCAGCATGGGGACCTGCTGCAGCTGTGCATCTGTGAGCTGCATAAATCACCATGAGGGTCAACTTGGAAGGTGGGGTGGGGGTAATATAGAGCAAGAGAAAGTGTAAGAGGGGGGATTGATAAAGAGAAAGCAGGGTCGAAGGTCTGGGCGAGGATTAAGCATCCAAGCTCTTGGATGAAGGTCACAGGTTATACAAGTCGACTGGGTCAAAAATAGATCTGTACAATTGTTAATAACCCGATTCTGTGAACTTTATGCAGTTAATAAAAAAAGACTAACCTTGGGTGAACTAGCTGAGAAAGGAAAACCTTAAATAACCCAAGAGACAGCAAATATGTCTGATCTCTCCTCTACTGCTCTAGTTTTAAAGCTGTTGTTCCATCCCACATGCAGCGATCAGACCGAAGATAGAGACATTCATTCCACCAGAGCTACACATGCATGTTTCTCATATGAAACAGTCCCCGATTATGTTTTTTTTTTCTTGTGACGGTCCAGATTGAATTTTGGATCTGCTCAGAAAAAATAAATAAATAATAATAATAATAATAAACATGAGAACAGCAATAACATTACACATTCAAAGTTTTCCAGGTTTTAAATATTTTTATCTTGATCAATAGTGAAGGTCACAGTGTTTCACAGCAGGGGCGTAGAATTTAGTAGGGACGCTAGGGACGTGTCCCCATCAATATCCAGTGACACTGATATATCCCCGATCAAAACTTTAAATATATTAAATATTGATGTCCCCGTCCCCACCAATTTCAAAATCAAACCTACGCCACTGTTTCACAGTGTTACGTCCAATGCGAGTCTAGGGTTTTAAGCAGATGCAACAATATTATTGGATATAAAGAGCGCTATCCTGAGCTCTGCCACTGCACCATCACATTTAATATTTTTATTTACAGCCCGTAACACAGAAACACAGTTATTTTATTATTTAAAATAACTTAAATAGGAAGCGTTTGCTTCAGAAGGGAGCAAGACCAAAATAACAAACAAAAGAGTTCTGCCTTGAGTGTAAAATCTTTTTAACTAAACTGCTTAAAGACATAAATTCTTAATACTACATAAATCAACAACAGAAATATAGGTATTAACTGGCCACAAAACAGGAGAAAAACAGGATATGTCACCCACCTCCCTACAGCTTCTATTAGAGAATTAAACAAAACAACAGTTAAGGTGGCTATTAGCCTTAGTTCAATTGGACATTTTATAAGTGTGCCTATTAGGCACTGGAGTGCATCTTATTGTCAGTGCAAGTTGATTTTAGTTAAAACAGCTCAAAAATGCATTTTAGTCTGGGACTTAAGCCTTGTCTGTAAAACTGGGCACATGCATTACATTTTAAGCATTAAAAACGAAAAGAAACAAAATATACACTCACCGGCCACTTTATTAGGTACCCCATGCTAGTAACGGGTTGGACCCCCTTTTGCCTTCAGAACTGCCTCAATTCTTCGTGGCATAGATTCAACAAGGTGCTGGAAGCATTCCTCAGGGGGTTTGGTCCATATTGACATGATGGCATCACACAGTTGCCGCAGATTTGTCGGCTGCACATCCATGATGCGAATCTCCCGTTCCACCACATCCCAAAGATGCTCTATTGGGTTGAGATCTGGTGACTGTGGAGGCCATTTTAGTACAGTGAACTCATTGTCATGTTCAAGAAACCAATTTGAAATGATTAGAGCTTTGTGACATGGTGGAAGTAGCCATCAGAGGATGGGTACATGGTGGCCATAAAGGGATGGACATGGTCAGAAACAATGCTCAGGTAGGCCGTGGCATTTAAACGATGCCCAATTGGCACTAAGGGGCCTAAAGTGTGCCAGGAAAACATCCCCCACACCATTACACCACCACCACCAGCCTGCACAGTGGTAACAAGGCATGATGGTTCCATGTTCTCATTCTGTTTACGCCAAATTCTGACTCTAACATCTGAATGTCTCAACAGAAATCGAGACTCATCAGACCAGGCAACATTTTTCCAGTCTTCAACTGTTCAATTTTGGTGAGCTCTTGCAAATTGTAGCCTCTTTTTCCTATTTGTAGTGGAGATGAGTGGTACCCGGTGGAGTCTTCTGCTGTTGTAGCCCATCCGCCTCAAGGTTGTGCGTGTTGTGGCTTCACAAATGCTTTGCTGCATACCTCGGTTGTAACGAGTGGTTATTTCAGTCACTGTTGCCCTTCTATCAGCTCGAACCAGTCTGGCCATTCTCCTCTGACCTCTGGCATCAACAAGGCATTTCCGCCCACAGAACTGCCGCTCACTGGATGTTTTTTCTTTTTCGGACCATTCTCTGTAAACCCTAGAGATGGTTGTGCGTGAAAATCCCAGTAGATTAGCAGTTTCTGAAATACTCAGACCAGCCCTTCTGGCACCAACAATCATGCCACGTTCAAAGTCACTCAAATCACCTTTCTTCCCCATACTGATGCTCGGTTTGAACTGCAGGAGATTGTCTTGACCATGTCTACATGCCTAAATGCACTGAGTTGCCGCCATGTGATTGGCTGCTTAGAAATTAAGTGTTAACGAGCAGTTGGACAGGTGTACCTAATAAAGTGGCCGGTGAGTGTAAATGTTAACCCACACTTAAACTACAATAAGCATAAGTGTTGGAGTCACCCTCAACAACCACTTAAATCAATGACACAAGGTAGAAAAAAATGCAGTGGTTACATTCAACACCAAGACTGAACACAGCAACAGAAATCTGGAGAAATATCGTTTTTTTTTTTATTACTAGTGGATCTAACTTTTATAACTTTTTTGTAGGCAAGACAATAAGGTTCATGCCTATACAAAAATGTAGCCTAGAGAAATATTACATGGAGTTAAAAATGTGACAACTATCCCGCTAATGCTAATGAATTCTGACATTCTAAATGAATTCGTATTGAAAAGATTTATATTAAATTAGAGACACGTTTCCACAAGTGCACTCAGACTTTTGAACCCCACTGTATATGTTTTATGATAATGAATCGGTTCAGCAGTGTGCAGTGATGGTACTTCAGTGTTTTGGCAGCTGGTTCAGTCTGAATTCCCCTCATAAGATGCAGATCCGCAGTGTCAAACGTGTGACTGATGTCTCCCAGCCGTATGTACTGCAGTCTAATCTTACTCTCTCTGCGGTGATTTCATCATTTCACAGCAGATTCTATAGCATTAACTTTGATATCTGAAGCTTCATAAATCGAGTTTGATTTGGTTCTTTGGGTCTTTCATTTGGCTTATTAGAAGCATTTCGTAACAAAACCCGACAACCTCTTTCCTGTCAGACCCCAAACCTTGACACTCATTTACTAATGACTGAGTGGTTGCCTAGTGACACTTGTCCCAGAAGGAAACTCTCTCTTCTGTATTTTGGCAGGAACACAGAGTCTACATCCAGTATATGGATACACACACACACACACACACACACACACACACACACACACACACACACACACACACACACACACACACACACACACACACACACACACACACACACACACACACACACACACACACACACACACACACACACACACACACACA